GAGAGAGAGAGAGAGAAGAAGAAGAAGAAGAAGAAGAAGAAGAAGAAGAAGAAGAAGAGCACGGGAGCGATAACTGTGAGTGTGTGTGTAAACGTAACAGGAGGAGTACACGAGTAACACAACTGCTAACGGCGGAGCCGGCAGGTGCACCGAGTCAGCGTTGACTGCGAGTGCGGCATCGGCAGCCGACGTGCTTAGGACGTGATGGGAAGAAGAAAGGACCTAGCTTTCCTTTCTCAGAGGGAGGTGATCTTGTGTGCTTCGAGCAATCACGGTGCTGTTTACCTGAGCTTGTGCCTGGCCGTCCTTCTCTCCATGGTAGGATCCAGCTATGGCTGCCAAGTGGCAAAGGTAAGTGACTGTAGCGGGGACAGCGCCGAGTCGGTGGAAATGGCGGGAAACGAGTCTGTACCACCTCGATCTCCCGCCAAAATTGAGCCTTCCCAAGCGGTAGGGGCTGCTAGCAGGCGTCAGGTAATGCTCCCAGGAGCTATACTGGTATGTAGGGGGGAGAAAGCCTTAGGGTGGTTCTCACCGAACAGGAGGTTCGTGCTGCGTATAAGGAGTGACGGATCGTGCGGCATCGACCTCATTGCAAGAACCGTGGGAACGATAAATTCGATGATGACGTGGAGGAACAGGGAGACGACACGTGTCTGGACGGCTGTCCACAGCAGCGGAGAAATTGTCAGGCCGGTAGAGTGTGTGTCTATGGAGGAAGATGGCGGGCTGGTGCTGAAAGACGCGTTTGGAAAGCGAATGTGGACGGCAGTACGGCTAGATTCCGATTCCGATCATGTCGGAAGACGAGGGTCAGACACGTGGAGGAGGAGGAGGAGGAGAAGCAGGAGCAGAGGGAAGAAGAAAGCTCAACGAGGAGGAGGAGGAGGAGGAGGAGGAGGAGGAGGAGGAGGAGAAGGGGAAAGACGAGGAGAAAGTGGGGACGGACAGTCTGATAGCGTGGACATGGCTGGTTTTCCTAAAGCGGTACAAGGTCAGCTGCAGGATGATGGAAACTTGGCCATTTTAGGAACGAAGCGTGGTCGTCGGGGCCCGTTTTGGGCAAGAGGAGGAGGAGGAGGAGGAGAAGGAGGAGGAGGAGGAGGAGGAAGTGGGGAGGGACAGCCTGATAGCGTGGACATGGCTGGTTTTCCTAAAGCGGTAGAAGGTCAGCTGCAGGATGACGGAAACTTGGCCATTTTAGGAAAGGATCGTGGTCGTCGGGGACCGATTTGGGCAAGTTTCTGGCACCCCACGGACACGCTTCTTCCCGGTCAGTTCCTCTCTTCGACGTCGCGCACTGCCAACCGCCTCGTGTCGGGATCGGGGCAGTATGCCCTGCTTTTCTCCGGTGTCGGCAGCCGCGACCCCATCATCGGCAGTCGCGACAGCAGGCAGCCGCCGCAAACCGCAAACGATCACGTCGAAGAAGGCTTGGAACTTCGGAGCAATCGCACAAAAGGTGGCCAGATACGTGGAAGAGTGGCCGCAATTGCGGCCAGATACGTGCAGGAAAGCCCCAGTGCGAGTGTGTTCGTAGAGCTTAGGAAAACGCGATCGAATGACGGCTCAATCTTGCGTTACTGGAGATATGAAGTAGGGAGAGAAAGACGACGAGGACTAGGAGGAGTGAGACGATCAAGAGGAGGAGGAGGAGGAGGATATGACAAGGACGGCGACAGTTCAAGTCCTAACTTAAAGACTCGACGTAACTACACATCGAAAAGACTAGTCATGAGAAGATTCACGGAAGATTCACGGAAGACTCGACGTAACTACACTAGTGCAGAGACGATGCACTACGCCAACAGGACACTAAGTCTTGGTCTAGTCGGAATCGATTCCCAACGAATAGTACGCGAATCTTCCGTGAATCTTCACATGACTAAATCGGGAACACTGCTTGTCCTGTTGTCCAAGAATGGTCAGTTCGATCTACACCGCAACTCCCGTGAATCTTCCGTGAATCTTCACATGACTAAATCGGGAAAACACATACTTATGACAATGGCCTCCGTTCACAAGTCCCTTTCTTCTTCTTCTTCTTCTTCTTCTTCTTCTTCTTCTTCTTCTTCTTCAGAGAAGGAGGAAGGAGCGGAGTTATTAGCATTTGCCAAACTCCATGACGACGGGGTGCTCAGACTATGGGTGAAGACAGTGAGTGCAGGAGGCGAATCCGGAGGAGGAGGAGGAGGGACGAGTTTATCACTGGATGAAGGAACCGGTGATGGAGCGAGGAGATGGAGAGCGGTCAGGAAGATTCCTGACGATATCTGTCAGACGGAAAGATGTGGCGTTGACTCAGTCTGCTTGTCACATAGCGAAATGCAAAAAGCTGCGGGTGCACGAAGAGGAGGAGGAGGAGGAGGAGGAGGAGGTGATGGTGGTCCTGAAGGAGGAGGAAGAGCAGGAGAAGGAGCAGCGGGAGACGGATATAGTTGCTGCTGCTTGTCAGGTTCTCATAAGACACATGACGACGGCTCTACCAGGTACGAAGGCCGCATTTGGACCTCCTCCTCCGTAGACGACCCGGCCAGCGCGACCACTTCGGTCGGGTTTCCGAACCTAGTCCATTTCTTGGGCAAAGGGGTGAGCTTTGCACGTCCCGGGATCGAAGCCGTCACTGCTGCTCTGGGGCTTCCCGCTCTACCACTAAGACTTCCCGCTCCTGCCAAACCGTTCCCCTCCTCCTCATCTGATTGCAGCTTCCATGCTGGAGATGGGCGAGAGATCTGGACCGTCGACATAAACTGCAGCGATTCCAGTCCTCCTTCCCATCACCACCACCTCCTCGTGGAGAATGATTCCTCTGCTCAGGTACTACGAAGTTTGACTACGACTTCAACTTTGACTCATCCTAGAGTGGACGAGCGGAGGTTGACTTTGACTTTGCGTTCCACTACCGGTCAGAAACAGTACAGAGCGCTGAGGAGACTCCTGTGGACTCAGATGGATGATCTTACCCGTCGGTCTTCAGATGTAAATCGGACTGCAGAAGCTGAGCAATGGTCGCTAGCTCGCGTTCGATCTGCTCTTAGGCTAGAGATGCACAATGAGGTCCCCGATTCGAAAAAACTGTCTTCTCCTTCGGCATTACCCCTGTTCCTGAGCGAAGTGTCGGGCTCATCGAGCTCGTCCTCCCTCAATACCCATCTAATATGCAATCAACCATCGCCTGCTCCCGCTAGATCTGTCAATTCCACCGCTTTTTCTACCGCTAAGGAGTTTTCAACGTCAGAGGAAGAGAGGGTGAGTCCATCACTATCTCCCTTGATCCCCTCCCAACCAAGTAAGCAGACACAATGGCGTCCTCGCTTCAGAACCCTCTATTTTGACGTTCCAGAATCCGACGAGTCTCCTTCGTCAGAGGAGGGGTTCAGTCCATCGCCATCTCCTTTCAACTCCTCCCCACCAGTCAATCACATCCCATCAGTTCCTTCCCAAGAGCCCGAGGATTCCACCACCTCCCACCCATGCGTCTCCTCCGTCAGAAGAGGAGAGCACTCCATCGCCATCTCCTCCCTTCATCTCCATCCCGGCAGCGAATCAAGAGCCCACTCATGGTTCACCTCCTTCAGAGGAGGAGAGCACTCCATCGCCATCTCCTCCCTTCATCTCCACCCCGGCAGCGAATCAAGAGCCCACTCATGGTTCACCTCCGTCAGAGGAGGAGAGCACTCCATCGCCATCTCCTCCCTTCATCTCCACCCCGGCAACGAATCAAGAGCCCATTCATGGTTCGCCTCCTTCAGAGGACGAGAGCACTCCATCGCCATCTCCTCCCTTCTCCTACTCGCCAACCAATCACACGCCATCGCCTCCTCCCAACGAAGCTGACAATTCCACCGCTCCTCCTGTCCACGAGGCCGATGTTCACTTTCCCCCCTCCTCCTCCACGCCCACCGTTCCTCACGGGGGCGACGACATTCCACCAGTATTTCCCTCCTCCTCCTCCTCGCCCACCGTTCCTCAAGGGGGCGACGTCATTCCGTCAGTCTTTCCCCCCTCCTCCTCCCCACCCAGCGGTCCTGATTGGGACAACGTCATTCCATCAGTACTTCCTCCCTCCTCCTCCTCCCCACCAACCGAGCACACGCCATCGCCTCCTCCTCCTCCCAACCAAGCCGTCAATTCCACCGTCCACGCCTCTCCATTTCCCTCTTCCTCCTCCCCTCCAACCAATCCACCACCATCGCCTCCTCCCAACGAGGCCACCTACTCCACCCCTCCTCCTTCCTTGGACAAGTCCCCTCCGTCGAAGCAGGTCACTCCATCACCCCTCCCTTCCTCCTCCTCCCCCTCCTCCTCCTCCCCCTCCTCCTCCCGCCCCGCGAATCAGTCGTCACGGCTGACCTCTTCTTCTCCGCCTTCTCAGAGCAGAAGTTCGCTCCCAGCTATGACCCCGGGCAGAGGTCGGGATACTGACCGGAAGCCTACCCTCGCAAACGACACTCTACCCGGACTTAAGAACAGCACTGTGAAGGGGTCTAGATCGGTCTTGGGGTTCTCGACGGCAACGTTGATCATTGCTATCTTGTTGAGTGCCGTGATCCTCCTCCTCTGCCTCGTTCTGATAGTAGTGTCTGTGTGGTACTCACGGCGGCGGCGGGGAAAAAGGCTACGAACGGATCACCCCAACGCCGGTGCAATTGAACTGGTACATACAATTAGTGAACGTTACCCCGATGCAGGGATCGAGCCTCCTCTGCACCATCCTCACCGTCAGGGGGATATCATGCTGCCTGTACAAATGGGGCACAGGATCTCCCCGACCAGTGCACAGGTGCCGGCATGATGACGGGACCGCGGCGGCATTTGGTACATGCTACTAGCGGTAGCTAGATGGATTGGGACTGGGACCGGGAGCTATGGTGGTATTTAGTCCCGTTTTCCGTTTGGGACCGTGTTATGTGGTAGGCCTAACTTCCCACGAGACCCCACCCACAGTGATGACCTTACACCATTCCCTGGCGCACTCCCACTGCCAACGATCCTCCCTCGCTGAGGACCACTGCATCACCCATCTACCAGCCCTTGGCCAAGGGCCCTGATGTAGGCACCAAAGCTCACAGGGAACCCCCCATTAGCCCTGGTTGTTCTTTTTTTTCTTTTTTCTTTTTTCATAGCCCCTGGTTTAGGCATTGCCGCACGAGCCTCGTCTTACGCGTACCTCGGATACTACCGACCGTCCTCACTTTTTTTTTTTTTTTTTTTTTTTTTTTTTTTTTTTTTTTTTTTTTTTTAATTATAAAACAGGTAATTGTTATTAGCAAAAACCAAAAGGAGACCGGGAATTCTCCACAAACAACCCGGAATTCGTAACCAAAAGAATGGGACCTTTACCCATCATAGGTATGGGTGTTGGAATAAATCCAGCTGCAGAAATGGCCAACTCCAGACGGCTGCACTGAGATTTCCAACCCCCCAAAAAAAGGGAAAAAGAAATAAACCCATCCCTCAGGGCCACAAATCCTAACAAACCGAAAAGGGTACAACCTACCACCTACTGGGCTTAAAAAAACTGCCCTCCCCCACAACAACCCTAGCTAACTATTCTACTAAATCAACAAAGCAAAAAAGCAACGAAACCAGAGAGAGAAAAGCAACTCTGGTGCAGAGAGTCCTCACTAACATTACCCATACCAAGAACATACTACTACTTAATAACAAAACGTTAAAAGTGGCCTAAACCAATCGGCCACCAGGGTCCCCTAGGGCCCTGAACGACCTGCATCAAGCTCCATCCACCACCTTTCCCTCTGCCTGTCTACTTGTGACCGAAACCATAACCGAGCGATACCAGGTTAGTATTTCGTTTAGTCTAGCTTTGGTACTTTCTATCTTTAAATAACCATTCCTGCAGCACAGGTTTCCCTGCTTTCTCCACTGTTGCAATTGAGCCCTGCAGGCACCATGTTTCACAGAACCAAGCCAGTCCACAGGCCTCACTATTGGCTGCAGTCACCTTCCGTCTCCAATCGGCCAGAATTGCAGTTCTAAGGCCACGTAAAAAGGACGCCCTCAGTCGATTGTTCGGCCATTCTTTCTCGTTAAATACTTTATCATTGCGTTCCTGCCAAATCACCATCATACCAATTGCCCGAAAAGTCTGGCCAACATACCCCCAACCCTTAGATAGAGGGATTCCATCAGGTACTCCTCCCAGTAACACCCAAGTTTTGGACCAGGAAAAGACTGAGTCGGAGATTCTGTCCCAGATGGAGGTAATCCATTTCCACAGTCTCATGGACATAGGACAATCCCACCAGAGATGAATGGTGGATTCAATACCCAGCTACACCTTCTGCAAGTTAAATCAATCTGGAGCCCATCAGGTACTCCTTCCAAAGTGAGGACGGTGTAGATGGACTCCATGGACACCGTCCTCACTTTGATAGAACACCCGGTCATATATATATATATATATATATATATATATATATATATATATATATATATATATATATCGTCACAAACAGAACTGCCCTGTAAACCGTAGGCAGAGAGAGAGAAGAGGACAACAAACGAGGGGCTGTATATATATATATATAAGATGTTTTGCTGGCTTGTGATGGGGTGTGAACGGACAGTCTGTAGAGTTTTCCATCTGGTGTGGGTGAGTGATAGTCTACTTTGATTTTGGTTAAGGTAGATTATCATTTACAGTGTAATCAGTGAGGG